ACTAACACATTGTTTGTCCTAAAATGGTAGGAATAAATACGTACCTTATTATATTATTATTACCAAATATGGTTAATAATCATGTATGTAATTTATCATATTGATGATGCTTGTATACTGGCATCCCTCATGTACAAAACTGAGAATATTATTATTGGTGCTAACATAGGGCGTACTCTGAAGCGCAGAACTCGGCCCTGTTAGGTGTTAACCAAAGCTATCCGAAGCCGGTGGAGAGAAAAATTAAGAAGAAACTTAATGAAGATGGGTAACAACTCACTTACAACTGCGAAGCGGATAAAGAAGTAAATTTGGTCAATTTGGTGGATCTAGAAAAGGCGGATTTGTCTTGAAGCATACCTGAGGCTCAGGAACTATGTAATACGAGGGTCAGGAGTGACAAGAAGTCTCGCCAGAAATCTCCTGGAAAACCTCAAAAGCCTGCAGAGTTTGGTGTCGGAGAGACTCCTACCAACCAGGGGTCATGCTTCTAAGTAGGTAGAACCGTTCAGGGTTCCACTTGTTTGGAAATGCCAACACATTCATTTCAGCCTTTGACAGACAGTTAAACAGAAGTGTGGGTGATACCGGTATAGATTATCGGGAGTGCTTTGCTGTTTTACCAAGCGAAGACCTAATGGGGATTCTCCAAGTGAACCCTGCAATGGTATTATAGGAGGTTATAGTAACTCCCATCTGAAAAGTCCCTAAGTTTTAACAACACTCAGTCATCTGTTCTACCAGAATGCGCCGAACCTCTCTGCAAAACCTTATGTGACTCGTTTGTACGCTCATTTGATTCAGGGAAACTGCTAAGGGAGTGGAAGAGAGCTATTCTATCTCCCACCTTCTAGGGAGTTATAGACAAGTAGCGGCACTCCCGGTGGTGTCGGAAGTACTACGAAGTCTGTTTGACGATCACATCAAGTAGCATCTTGACAGAACCAACATACTCCATGAAGCACAACACGGTAAATTGGGAGGCGTATCCTGTGTGACAAAACTTACTATCAGCTTGGAGTGAATGGACATCATGTTGGGATTTGAATGTTCCAGTCCATGTGATCTTCCTTGACTCTGTGATGGCATTTGACACAGTCCACGATGACCTGCTTCTACGCAATATAAGTCAGATGAATATAAGTAACCTGCTTCTGTCATGCTTGGGGGAATGCCCAGACGAAAGGGAACTCTATATTGAGCTCACTCGTGTCCAATCATCCAGGCATCATCGCAGGACTCTAATCCTGGGGCCACTGATGGTTTGCTTTTTATCGGTGACCTGCTATGTCGTCTAAACTGACCAGCTCTTTTTAAGGTTACTTCATGAACATGCAGAGAGCGAGATGTTGTCAGAATAAGCCGATAGGCTGCATTCAGACCTAAGGCTTCTGAAAGAGTGGATGGTGGCCAGTGGTATGGCTTTCAGCCTAAACAGATTCAGTGCAGTGCTACTTAGGATCTGTAGGTCACACAGGGCAAGGTACCCCTTGCGTAACGATAATCATAATTCTGACCGAAAAAGTAGACAAGAATGTAAGTTACATGGCCGATGTAGTGAGGGCTTAAACAGTTATACATTTTGTCCATAGAGAGGTTGTATAAAACATGCGTTAGACTACACCTTGAAGTGCACAATATCACTACTCCTCTGTTGCTTTGAAGAGAAGCTAACTTTTTGGAAATAGTTCCAGGACAGGGACAAAGGGGGTGACGGGTCTCCGAAATAGACCATATGATGAACGGCTAAAATATTTTCACACTTAGCCAACGTCGGCTCAGGGGGAGACCTAATTAATGTCTATAAGATTACGAATGGCCAGGATCAATCAAACAAAAGTATTCTTCTGTTAAGTTTGTGAGAGTTTCTTTGTGGCAATCCACGAATTATAACTCACCACAGGGCGAAGACTCAAGTGCGCTCCCATTATTTTGCAATTTGAATTTACCTTTCGCAATAACTCTTTTCTGGCATATGTGGCGACTGCACCACACATGGAAAGTTTTAGGCGGAGACTGGGCAGTCATGCAGTGACACGAAGACTGCGTCCAAACGGCTTATCATCTTAACACTCACCTAAGCCCGTCGTTTACTACTTCACATTCCCCCTTGTCTCACTCTCCTAGCTGCTCCATCTATTGGTTCCATGGCATCACTACTGATATATACATGTGACAATTTAAATTTAATTAGCCGTCTATATTTACGTTTCATTTTTTGAATTTTAAGTCAGCATAACCTACACAAATTATATATGCTATCACAATGGTTATCTCCTATCAACCACACATGATGACTACTGGGTGATAGGACCAACTCCATTCACAGTTGTGACGTGGTCTGAGCACATCGGAAACCACAAGTCCGATGTAATCATTGCCAGCACCACTAATTTTGGAGTCAACCATAGTTGAATGACTGGGTGAACTATGCAGAAATTACTTAAAGACCAAGAAATCTTAACTTACAACCACGAAGTGAGCACAAAAGAATCAAATTGATGTTCAACAGTTTGTGAAAACGAAATTGGATACTCAATACGTCCGTGTAACTTAGAATATTTTACGTATTTCTCTATGCTGTTGACACTGCGAATAACTGTTTGGAGTTGAGTTGTACCTTATATTTGACAACTTTGGTTTACTAAAGATGCATGTGTTATTTCTGTAGGATTTGCAAAACCAACTTCGGTAGACATTTCTGAGATTGTGGATTAATTTCCAAGTTATATATTCGCAGTATTCCCTATAAATAAAATGTATTTATCCCGAAGTCAATCTACATTTTACTTGTATGAACTGACTTCACCTAATAATTCTTTCATGTATAATATAAGGGAACTAATAGTTCGAGACAAGGGAGAATGGGAAGTATTAAAATGACGAGTTTAAGTATATACCCACTAATAGTGCATAAGTATTAAGAGAATAAAAGATTCAGATTGATTAAAATTAGCTCATAAAAGTGATTCTGGATACGCTAGCTGCTAAAAGGCACGCTGCATATTGGAAACACTAAAAATGATATTGGATATTGGAGATAATTCACCAGGCGGTCTCAGACACTATTCCTTTGGTCACACCAAAAGCTAGGAAGCAACGTTCATGGCTAAAAAGGGGGACACAACGCCTTCTGTAGGCGAAGCAAAAAGCCTGGTTGCGTGGCGACGATCGAAGAGTCAACCCGAACAGGAAGTGTACCTTGAACTCAGGAATCGATGTAACACGAGTCCGGAGCGAAGGAAGGACATTTCACGGAAACCTCGCCAATAAGCTTCTCGTGAACCCCAAAAGCCTATACAGGATTATGTCTGAAAGAAAACCGACCAACCAGGGAGCATGCAATCTAGTGGGTTCTGATGGGAAATCTCTTACTGTTCTCGAAATGGCACAGACATTCAGCCTAGCCTTTCACAGGCAACTAAACAGTAACGAGGATATTACCCCCACAGAACATCAAGATTACATTGCAAAACCAATGCGCAGAAACCTGCTGAGTATATTTCAAATTACCCCGGCTATGGTACTTGTAAAATTGGGAAAGTTGGCTTCGGGAAAGTCCTCAGGTTGTGATGACATCAGGCCATCCGTCCTGAAGCAGTGTTCAGCAAGTGTCTGCCAACCCCTAAGCGATCTGTTCCAACACTCCCTTGATGTAGGGAAACTTCCATGTGAATGGAAACGAGTGATCCTATCCCCTATCTTCAGGGGTGGTAACCGGCAGAATGCGACCAGTTACAGACCAGTTGCTCTACTTCCAGTGATATCGAAGATATTGGAAAGTCTCATTGACGACCACATGAGAAAATACTTCAACGGGACTAACCTTCTTCACGAAGCACAGCACGGTTTCGGGAGGGGGAAGATCCTGCGTGACGAATCTTCTACTAGCTTGGAACGATTGAACACTCTCCTGGGACGAAAAGGTACCAGTCCATGTGATCTTTCTCGACTTTGTGAAAGCATTCGACACAGTTCACCATGTTCTGCTCTTTCACAAAATAAGCAAGGTGGGTGTTTCTGGAGCACTTCTTGCATGGCTGAAAGATTACTTAGGTGAGAGAGAATTCTGCACCAGAGTCAACCGCATCCGATCATCCTGGCACACCTCGGCATCAGGGGTTCCTCAGGGTTATATCTTAGGGCCGTTGATGTTTTCGATTTTCATCAACGACCTACCTTCTCAACTGAGCTGCTCTGCGCTTCTTTACGCTGACGACGTAAAGATTCGGAGAGCAATAAACTCATCGGAAGACTCAGACAGATTGCAGGCTGACCTGAAAACTCTAGGAGACTGGGCTCTGGCTAACGGAATGCCTTTCAACCTAAAGAAGTGCAAAGTAGTGCAACTTCATTCGGGTAGGTCACAGAGTGTAAATTACACCTTTGGTGGCCAGAACTTGAGTTGTGTTCCGTCAGAGCGCAATCTAGGTCTTATTCTAACAGAAAAGCTGGACACCAGTGGAAATTACGCGAGGGACGTCGCCAAAGCCTACGCAACTTTACACTTTATGCATAGGCAGCTGGGAGCTCTTACTCCCGAACTGTTCTTAAGGTTATATAAGACATATGTGAAGCCACACCTTGAGGTGCGTAATATCATTGCACCTCCGCTGCCCAAAAGGGATGCAAACATTCTAGAAAATGTCCAGAGACGAGCGACAAAATGGGTGATCGGCGTCCGCAACAAGTCATACGAGGAAAGACTGAAGAAATTAAGACTTTTCACACTTAGTTACCGTAGGCACAGGGGTGACTTCATCACCGTCTACAAGATCTTAAATGACCAGGCCCACCCAAATAAAAGCATCCTGCTGTTAAGTGATTATAGGCTTCCACGAGGTAACCCGTTAAGGATAGCATACCAGAGACCAAAGACTCGAGTGCGATCACATTTCTTTTCGCTTCGTGTTTGCCGTCTCTGGAACGCTTTACTGGCGGCCGTGACTACAGCGCCTTCTCTGGAGATTTTTAAGCGGAAGCTGGACAATCATGCAGAAATGCAAGGTTTGTGTCTCAATGGCTTATCCTCATAAAACTTAAAACCACACTGTCAATGGATAAGCATACAAACTAAATCCCCACGACCTGTCCTGCCTTCTCTTACTGTACCGACTACTTTATCTTTTCCCTAGGTCACCTTTATTATTTCACTTATCGCAACCCATATTATCTACACTACAACCTATTATTATTATTACTATTCTGCTTTTATGACTACACCGAATGACCAACGGGATTTAGGTCAAACTCCATTCACCGCAGCAACACAGTCCTAACATACTGCATACTACAAACCACATTTTGACCAATCCCCGCACCACTCCTCTTGGAGTCTACCAGAGCTAAAGCAGTCGAGTGGCGGGACGTACTACGCAGAAGTTCACCAAAGATCTGAAACCTCTACCTTACAGTCAAGAAGCGAGCTCAAAGAAATCACTGGTTTATACTAGCTCGTGATCAGAATATTGGATATTGGTATATTGAAGGCGGTATTTTGACTTCGTTATTTGCGTTTCCGCGTAGTTGTATCACAGAAGACATGTATCTATTCACTTACTTCACTGTCATAATCATCATTTCACTTTATATTTGCAGCGTTTCCGCCTGTCGAATAAGTGAAGGAGAAAATATAGAAATGATAACAAAGCTAGAGGGTAATTAGTAGCTGAAGTTTACTACAGGTCACAATACAGAGAAAGGGTTTGTAAAATCCACCCGTGTCAAAAAAGCCATGCAGAATGTGGATCGTGGTTGTTTTGTTGATACTAACACATATAAAATTTGTTCAGTGTCAACGAAATCCGGTGCCATAATTCTTCCCCCATTTGTCGTGAGTTCAGTAAATTTTAATACTACGAATCATTGTGAGGCAAAGATTTCACTATGTCACGTTGGTTTATTGCTATGTGTTGTTTATCTTTACGAAGTGGTTAACTGTCAATCCCTGAAGATTTAGTTTTAATAAAAATTAATGCACATATGTGCAGTATACAAAGCAGATAAAAGTTGGCAAACAGAAGTTGAATTCATTATTAAGGGTCATAAACCAGAGTGACAAAATAAAGTTTGGGAAAGATAAAGGCCTGAAAATGCACCTCCTGCTCGGAACAATTCGTTAAACACTCATGAGTGGTAAGTGTGTGGTGGACCTTTCACTCGGTTAGCTCAGTTACCCAAATTCAAATAGAAAATAAAGTACCAAATCAGTTTAGTTACGGGAAGAATGTATTAAAGTTTGGTTACTTGGGTTTACAAAGATCCAAAGTCCACAATAAACGTTATAGACTCCAGGTGCTGCGGGAAGACTGCTCCAGTACTAATTCTCCAATGTTGACGTTGCCGGAGGTCGACCAAAGTACGTAGGAAGAACTACGGTGCTCCTGCAAAAATTTGAGATAGAAAGCAGGTGATTAAAATTGATCGACGGCAGTTGAGATGGTGGAGAAGACGGAGAGTCGAAGGCAGAACTATATATTTATTCAAAACCCGAGGTAAAGTCAAAGTACAGAGTTTATGGTTAAAACAAAGTGGTGTACAATATGTTCATTATTTACATAGTAGTAAAATTTGGATAAGTTTATTTTTGAGGAATCCACAGGGCTCCCTGTCTTAGAGGTCCGGAGGACCATCAGTACTTGTCCTCGTGGACGATTACATGAATATAAGCAATATAAATAAGGGACAACGTCAACAATAAGGATAACAAAAAAATAACAATAACAACAATAAGGATAAAAAGTTAAATCAGGATGTATACCATGCATCCGTGTCGTATAAAGTTTAGCACATACAAGCACATACAGGAATTTAAAAAAATCAAAACTTGTTGTAATTTTAAATAAAAAATTTATGTACATAATAAACCATGACATGTTCGTTAACATTTGTGAAATTCATATATAAATAGATATATACATATACTTGGTGAATGCGTGTGCTTGCAGTACAGTTGACGAACAGCAAATAATAATACTAATAAATATTTATGATTACAATGAAATGAATGTCGACAACAATAGTAATGAGAAGAATGTCTAAATGAGGTCAACGTACTTTCTTTTTTTATGTCAGTCAATAAAATGAACATAGCGGGCAGGTTTACAGATCTGCCGACCACTGCGTGTCTGTACAGGGGGAAGAGTGAAGAGAGGGAGAGTTTGAGTTGAATTGACTTTCTGATTGTTCATTGGTGTCGGCGTTGCTAGTGTTTCATATTCGCTGTCGGTGTACGCTGGTTTAAGACGGTCGATAGAAACAGTCTCCGGTTTACCATGTTTGTTCAGCGTGAAGTATTTATCGGTGCGTTTAAGTACTAGAAAAGGACCTTCATATGGATGTTGTAAACCTTTTCTAATGGCATCGACGCGAACAAATACAAATTTGCTAGTGAGTAGATTCTTATTAACTTGAACTTTCTGGAGTGATTGGCGAGAGGCTACTGGTCGAAGCTGGAGCATTTGCTGGGTAAGGCGGTTGGTGAATCTGTTGTAATAGTTGTGGGTACTCCGTAGTTTGACACCCAGCGATCTAAGAAAACCAAGGCGATATTTTCTGCAGATATATCGTTGAGTGGACAAGCAATAGCCCATCGGGTAAATCGATCAATCGCAGTAAGTATATGAGTAAATCCTCTGGATGGCGGTAATGGTCCAATAATATCTATATGAACGTGTTGAAATCGTTTATCCGGTAAATTGAACTGTTTTGGAGGTGTGACGGTATGATGATGTACCTTGGATCTTTGACATTGCAAGCATTGTCGGGCCCATTTCCGAATATCGGAGTTCATCTTGGGCCAAACAAAACGCTCGCTGATTAACTTGACCGTAGCACGCACTCCAGGATGAGACAATGAATGTAGATGTTCAAACAAAGGTTTTCGACAACTTAGTGGAACAAAAGGTCTATGAACGCCCGTTGAAACGTCGCAGACGATAGTTGTATCAGACAGGGGAATAGGTACATCCTGCAACTGTAGGGAGGAGTTTCGTCTACAAGTATGGAGTTCGGCGTCATTTTTCTGCAGCTTGGCAATATTGTCTAAGCTAATATCTATCGAAGATAGGTGATTAACGTCACATCGAGACAAAGAATCGGCTACGATATTGGAATCTCCTTTGATGAACTGGATGTCTGTTGAGAATTGTGAGATGTAATCCAGTTGTCTGGCTTCTCTCGGAGAGTGTCTGTCCAACGAAGTGGTGAAAGCATAACAAAGAGGCTTATGGTCGGTTAAGATAGTAAAATGTCGACCTTGTAGTAAGAAGCTGAAATGTTTCACTGCTAGGTAGATGGCTAACAGTTCTCTGCCAAAAGTGCTGTAACGAGTTTGCGCAGGTTCCAACTTCTTGGAGAAGAAAGCAAGTGGAGTGATGTCATTATTGAACTTTTGTTGTAAAACTGCTCCCACTGCTACCTGCGATGCATCTGTACATAAAATGAGTGAAGCTTCTGGGTTGATATGAGATAACATTACAACGTTGGATAAGGCATCTTTTGCATTATTAAATGCTGCTTTTGCTTCTTCAGACCACTGAAATTTCTTCGAATTGCATCTAAGTAGGTCGGTCAGTGGCTGAACTATGGAGGCACATGATGGAATAAAACGTCGGTAGAAGTTGAACATCCCGAGAAAACGTCTAAGTTTCTTTAAGGAATCAGGTTCGGGAAAGTTCTTAATAGTTTTATCTTATCTTCGGTAGGTCTGATGCCTTCGGCAGTTATTCGATGTCCTAAGAATTCAATGGAAGGGGAACCAAAAATACATTTCTTTGGATTGATAACAACTCCAAATTGTTCAAACCTTTGAAATAACAGGCTTAAGTGTTGCATATGTTCTTCCATCGATGAGCTGGCAATTAAGACATCGTCGATATATACAAAGACGAAATCAAGACCTTGGGTAACTTGGTCCATAAAACGCTGAAATGTTTGAGCAGCATTCTTTAGTCCGAAAGGCATTCTCAAGAATTCGAATAATCCAAAAGGCGTGATAATTGCTGTTTTTGCAATGTCTTCTGGAGCGACTGGTATTTGATGATATGCCCTGACCAAGTCAACTTTAGTAAAAACGGTCTTTCCATGTAAGGTCAAGGAGAAGTCGTGGAGATGAGGTATAGGATAACGGTCTGGGACCGTAGCGTTATTCAAAGCGCGATAATCTCCACATGGTCGCCAGTCATGATTAGTTTTAGGTACCATGTGCAAAGGTGAAGACCATGGGCTGTTAGATGGTCGTATGATACCTAGCTGCATCATATGTTCGAATTCCGACTTAGCTGCTGCTAGTTTATCGGGTGGTAACCGTCGTGGACGTGCCTTCACAGGTTGTCCTGTTGTGATGATCTTATGCGTAACTGTATGAGATATATCTTCGACGTTGTATGATGGTTTAAGGATTTTAGGAAATCGTTGCAATAAAGCAGAGAACATTTCACTCTCCGGCTTTTCTATACAGATGCTATGAACAGAGTAGTCACATGTAATACCGTGGATCTTGAGTTGGGTGCAATTGTCAACCAGTTTTTTCTTGCTGATATCAACCAACAGATTGAAGTGACTTAGGAAGTCTGCACCTAGTATAGCGTGACGTACGTCAGCTACTATGAAGATCCATGTGAAACGTCGGCGTAATCCTAGGTTTAAAATCATTGACTGTTCGCCATACGTCTGTATGTTGGTTTGGTTGGCAGCACGAAGTGAAAGTTTTCCAGGTATTTTGGCTGATCGCCTGGATAGTGAGGGGGGAATAACACTGACCTCGGCGCCTGTATCTACCAGGAATAATGTGCCGGTAGTCAAATCCCTCACATAGAAAAGGCGACTGGGGTGATTGCCATTAACAGCCGTCGCCATTACTGTCTGGCTGGGGAGTTTCCCTGAGATGAGTTACTACTGTTGTACATACACGGTCGAAGACACTTCAGGGCATTATGCCCATACCTCCTATGATACCAACAAATGTTACGGCTTTGAGACGGTGTTCTAGAACGTCGTCTAGATCTTGATCGCCGTTGCTTGGATACCGTATGTGACTGGTTCCTTTGTGCTCGAAGCTCGGACACTTCCAGTCGTAAGTCTTGCATTTGAGATGTTAACTGGGAAAGTAACCAAAACATTGGTGCGTCCTTCATAGATGTGGAAGGGCTTGGTGGTACTGCCTCTGTAGACACGCTATTTATGCCATTATTTGATAACACATCCATGATATCGTCTGCCATCTTAGCTAATTCTTCAAGGTCTGTCGTCCTAGAAGATATTGTTAGGATTTGTTGAACGTTTTGTGGTAAACGTTGTAAGAACATCTGACGTAGAATTAACTCATCTACTCTGTGTGACCCAATCAACTGGCGCATATGTCTAAGTAGTTGAGATGGCTTTTTTTTACCTAGATCACACGAAGTAAGTAGTTGTTGTATGCGTTTCTCATCGGAGAGAGTGGTCCGCTGGATGAGTGCAGCTTTTAGTTTGTCGTATTGAAAGTCTGTAGGTTTGCTGTCTATGACATCGATAACCTCTCGTAGTACTTCCGTGGGAATTGCTGCTAATACGCAACCATACATGGCAATCTGCGACGTAATACCTCGAGCTGCAAACAACTGTTCAATGATTGTGAACCAGACACGTGGTTCAGCCAGATCAAATTGAGGAAGTCTTAAATCCGGCAAGGCGTTAACAGCAGAGTTCTGTGTCTCTTCGCCTTGATTACCTTCTTCAGCAACAGTGGTACGTTTAGGTGGAGCCATTGTCATATAATATATAAGTATAGAGATATACAAAATAGCAAAACTTGTGGTAACAAAAATTAAAGCAATGCGAGTTTATAAGGCCGAAATAGCAAAAAAAATGTTCAAAACGAGTTAACTATCGAAACAAAAAGGTTCGAAAACGGGTTAACCATAAAAAAATTCGAAACGGGCGTCGGGCTCACCAATTATTGTGGTGGACCTTTCACTCGGTTAGCTCAGTTACCCAAATTCAAATAGAAAATAAAGTACCAAATCAGTTTAGTTACGGGAAGAATGTATTAAAGTTTGGTTACTTGGGTTTACAAAGATCCAAAGTCCACAATAAACGTTATAGACTCCAGGTGCTGCGGGAAGACTGCTCCAGTACTAATTCTCCAATGTTGACGTTGCCGGAGGTCGACCAAAGTACGTAGGAAGAACTACGGTGCTCCTGCAAAAATTTGAGATAGAAAGCAGGTGATTAAAATTGATCGACGGCAGTTGAGATGGTGGAGAAGACGGAGAGTCGAAGGCAGAACTATATATTTATTCAAAACCCGAGGTAAAGTCAAAGTACAGAGTTTATGGTTAAAACAAAGTGGTGTACAATATGTTCATTATTTACATAGTAGTAAAATTTGGATAAGTTTATTTTTGAGGACTCCACAAGCGGTACACAGTGCTAGTGCTTCGACAGTTTATACAGGTTTATCAGTATTTATTGGATACTGCATACTATACTTAATGATAACGGATGCATATCTTGCACGTGTCTGAGGGCTCTCTGGTGATTGGCATGTTTATTCAACCATGTGTACACCTGAAATAGTTCATAGTTTTCGATTTCACTGCACTCGATCTGAAGTATGCGTTACGTTCACTTCATGTAAATTTGATTTCACTGAGTAACTAAAGTGTGAATTTCATAAGAATAAACTGGTAGATCATTGTGGCTGTGAATTGTGAATTGAATTATGTTGGTGAGTTTAAACTTTGCATTCGATGATATTATTGGATGGATGTGTAATGTATATTTTACAATGAATTGTTTTCGATGAAAGTTGTGTATAAGGTTTCCTTATTAACAGCTAACAGCAAGCTGTTCAGTCAAACTGTTCCAGACTCCTTAGATGCACTACTGTGTTTCTTTAATTCGATGCGCACGCTAAATATTTACCCTTTCATTTTCCGTGATCCAGGATGCAACTATTCTGGAAGCATTGCATGACCACATCAAGAACGGTTCACACTCACTTATTATGGAGCCGGGTAGTGGATACCTCTCAGCTTGCATAACATTTATGGTGAGTCTATTGTAGTGAAGTGTAATTTCAATTTTCTTTGTGATTCACATGGTTCACATTACCAGAAAGCCTTGGAGCATCGTTTCATGAATATTTAAGCTAACCAGAATATTGACATTCAAAGATTGAAGTTAGTTGAGGTTCGTTGACAACAATAATATTTTCACCTAAAGATTCAGTAAGGATGGCGTTGAAAGTTTTTATACCATGATACAATGAATTTACATTCATGAACAGAGTGCAAAACGACCAGTGGGTTTACATCGATTGAGTTTAACCATTGCTCATCTCTAATTGATAGCAATACTTTCTGACAATTGTATTTTGTCTTTTAACTCATCGCGTCAACAATTTGTCGTATATTCAGATTGGAGGATTGCGGAAACCTCCGTAACAAGACTTATGATTTAATCTGAAATTTAAAAACACTTTGGACCTCATTTCACTTTGCTTATCTTATTAACACAGTGAAGTAAAAGAATTCGGTTTATATTAACCTGGATGTCTTGATTAGCTGAAGTGACGTTTTAAAGTGAAGCTTTGCGCAAAAGTGCTGCGGTTTGAGAATCAAAGATAAAGCTAGGAAATATGTAAAGAAGCCATAATGAACAGATGCATACAACAGGTAACATATTTATGTGTAAAATAATGAGACTCGAATAGATCTAGGAGTCTACGAATTTGAATGTATTTGCATCACTGATAACGACTTTGAGTCGTGTCATGAACAACCTCCAGTCTTCGGTTCTTAGCATCTTGACTATCACAGCCAGGTGGTCTTCCCCATGCAACAACACTGGCTCAAGCTAGTTATCATTTACTTCACAGTTTGATAATAAGTTATGATCTAGCCATCTCAAATCCCTTTCCAACATAATTCTATACCAGCTAATATTGCTCGACAACGTAAATAATACGTGTCCCAGTCACTTTAGGTAATATAGCTTCACTACCTCATGCAATTATTTTCCCTACTTACCATACATGTTAAACCTAGTCTACATGTTACTGACCATGCTGCAAAACTAAAGACGTGGAACAAACTGCGGACACTCATGGTCAAAGTCGCCTAGCTTCTGCATATACTCCAATTTTGAAAGTTATTTCTCTCAGCCATGATGAGGGATGTAATAAACTTTTGGGCAGCAGAAACTTGTTTTGAGTCAGCATGATACCTCGCCTGCTTTAAAAACAACACGAGTTTGTAACTACCAGACTAGTCTTTCGTACGTAAACTGAGATTTCGTCTGTAATCAATCGACTAGGGCGGCTACAACTTGACGAGTAAATGGAGTGGTTACCATACTTGGACATTTCACTTCCTATCCTTCCTTCCTAGCCAGTTCAGTGTAGTCTTGCAGCATCGTCTACAATTTGACTAGGGCGAATCTTTTGTAAAACTTGCTGATATATCTGCTCAAGGTATTCAAATGATGCTGGATTTTGTCAGCATCTTTGCTTAGAAGGCCTACATCATCTGCATATTCTCAATTTATGAGACTGTTTTATGGAAAAGATTCATTTGGTTTACATGTGATTCAGTTTTCCTTAATCTAGCTCAATTCAGGTGGAGTTTTATGTCCGGAGCATCCTTAGTCTCTACAGGATGATTCGGCTTAATGTTTTGTTTGAGGCAGTGTTATAATTATTTGTACTAGTAGTATTTTACAATGGCCGAATTACAGGAAATCAACCAGTAACGCAGAGAGGGATAAATTTAGCAATTTATATTTGGCGGGATTATTTGTAATTCATGTAATAATATATTAACAAACAATAGTAAGTATTTACACAATACAGAGATAGAAATTGTCAATCACCACACCCACAACATGTCAAATCTCCCCTTGTGTATTTAAAATGATGTCTCGGTTTGCCTGCAAGTATCCGCGTTCTTCTAATTGATTCTGTGATATTGTTTTCACCGGTGTCATCTAGACTTATTTCTGAACTATCTACAAAATCAGAATTAGTAGCGTAATCATTAAAATTGTAATCGAAATGACTTATTTCATTTATTTTCACTTGATTCAGGTGTTTGCTGTGAACCGAATGATCTTCGATGTCCAATATCTTCACCATTTGACTTCCATTTTTTGTAGTATGATTCCAACAGAAGGTTTATAGTCATTTCCTCTATAATAATGTACATCAGAAGTCGTGAACGTCAGATGCGTTCTGAGAATTAGAGATTTGAATAGCTCAGTAGAACTTTCATGAGTGCTTGTATGCTCCTCATTGAGATATTGAGGTAGGAAGTTATCTACAAGCAACCAGGAGTATGATTCTTCTGAAGTTGTAGAAATTCACCACTCCGTGGTAGTTTTAAAGGGTGTTCCTCCTTCGTTCAACCAGTAGGCACTCATTCTTCCCTTCAAACGCTTTGCGAATATGGTGTGAGCATAAACACTAGGTCTTTGGGTGCGTTCTCAGTGATTCTCATCGCTGGCGCTCGCGACTTCTGCTTACTTCGGAGGACCGGTGTTCACTGGGAGTTCTGTATCTGTTGGTGGTATTTTTGGGTAAGTTTTAAGTAGTGCTTGATTCAAGCGTTTTGAAGACTTCAGCCTAGAGTTTTGTTTTCTCCTGTTTGGTCATTAGGTTCCATTCATCACCTGTATTAATCTCTTTCCAGATAGTTAACTAGTTATTTTACTTTCCATACAATCGACCATTAGGTTGATACTGATTCGCTTACTATATATCAAAGTGATCTACACACTTATGTCTCTTCTTTTGTTCTCCCACCTCTCAAAGTCTGGGATTGGTGGTAGGACAGAATCCACTCTGCCTGATAATAAGTTAATGGAAGCGGCTTTGGGGAATTTTGCAAAGTGGCTACAATATACTAAATATGCCTTTACATTGGGGACACAAATTATATTCAGATCAGTTAGTGATCACAAATCTTGGTCATCAAATGCACAGTATGATGCTATTTATTTGCATATGCTGGATGAAAGTATCATGAAGGAAGTAAGTCTACTTAGTCAAATGTCATATTTTGTTTGCGAGTTTAACGAGTAATCGCAGAATAATAGTAAGTCAGCTAGACGGAGGACGGAGACGACAAGAATCAGGAGTTCATATTGCTCGTGAATATTTGTATTGTATATTTACATGAAGTAAGAACAAATGACAGTGAATATTTGCACAGTACAGTTATGCAAACAGTCAGTCACTCATCACACTTACAATTTGTAAATATAAACTGTCATTATTCAGGTAATGCCATTTTTATTTATGTGAGAAACTAATACAGTAGAATGAAGATATTGTAAATGAGAAGGAACCACTTGTTCGGTTTACTGAATAATGATGTCCATTAGTCTGCGGTGTTTATCTCACCTTAGTGCTCTCCATAAATGATTTTACTGTGATGTGTTCAGTTATCCTTGAATGGTTTTGATTAGACACAAGAGTAACTCTAATGCAGCTAGTTCTCGTAACATCCACTAATTAATATATATATATATTCTCTCATGTTGTATTTCATGATGATATTCGGTATTTTGTATAAGGGTTGTGATATAATCGACAAACACTTCCAAATATTCAGAAATCTTAGGTAATTACCAACGAAATAGTGGAAGTGATGGCTTGAAATTAATTCAGATGAAAATTATTGGATATATGCGTCGGTGGCACAGCGGTTAAGACTCTGGCTGACCATGCACATGGTCCGGGTTCGGTCTCCAACCAACGCACAGCTGATATCAAATGGTAGCCCGCAAAATTTGGGCTACCAATATCATATGCTGAAAATTCCATACTTGTATCAAAAAATACAGTGTGGAGTCAAGTTATGATCAGAAATCAGAAATATTAGGTTAAATGTCCACTTAACGAGTGTGATAAAGGTGAGAATACAATCAACTGAATAGTAAAGTTGGTAAAAGAAGTACTTGGGAGTAATAGCTGTGAAATGCAAAGTGAAATTATAGGCAAACAAGTATAAAGGAAATTGAAACTATGGTACGATGAGGAAGTTGAAGAGACCTTTGTTAACAGGGTTTGTAGATGAACTGACGAATCGCTAGAGCCCACATCATCCACAAGTCTTGAAAGTTAACATCCTTTTCATAGTTTGGATGTGCAGTGTAGACGAATTCAAGAGAGAACCATATTCAATTTGCTTGGCCTGGATTCCCGAAATATTCGAGAAATGAATAAGCATCTTTTATTGAATATAAGTATAACTTCATCAGTAGACGATACCTTATTCACTGAATAGTCTTTTATCTGTTTCATGAGATAGATTTGGTGGAAATCCCATATCACTCTATCTGTCCGTGACATTATTTATTTTGCATCATTCATTCAAGATTCCCATATAATAAAACCATAATAATAATAATCACATTTTATTGTGTGCTTCATTTGCTCTGGATAACTTAGTTGAAAGAACAACTAAAAGTAGGAGGTCGCCTAGTTTATTTGGAAGGATCTGATGATGGAAGACGGAGGTTGAATGTGATGAATCGCATATCTGAGGTTACCTTTCTTTTGAAAAATCTTATGAGTTTCCAAATTGTTGTGCCACCTAGTATTCAGACTACAGAAGAAAGTATAGTAGAATCTGGGTAAGATGTTTTGTCTATATGAAATTTTAGGCTTATTTCAAATCATTATTAGTACTGAATTCCTACTTAAGAGTTATAAAACTATTAAGTTAATTGTATTTTGATTCATTAAATTGAAGACATCACAAAACAATGCACACCATGCCTTCGAAAATTGTGAACAGTTGGTCTTTTTGGAATACATCAGTATGGCGTTAATGAAGAATGGATTATATGTGAAAAATATGAGGCATTTTAGGGATTCTTTTTTGTTGTTGGACGAATCTGACTAGACATATCCATTTGATCATGTTATTTTATACGAAATGAACACGCCTTATCATGTATATATATATATATATATATATTCGCGTATACATGTACATTGATTTACGGTATGGTATATTACCTCTGTTTATTAAGCTGCTTCGTTTCTTTTTTTTCCTTCACTTTCCCCAGTGGAACATAAGGTTTCAAGCTACTGGCTTGAAGTTTCTATAGCAGTGTTTATTTTACAGGATGGGGTTGCTAGCCTCATGCCCAACCTTTCCTCTTTACCAGCATTATTTCTGGCTTAGCGGGGTAAAGGAGTGCATCGGTGGCCGGGGATTGAACCCCGGACCATGTGCATGGTCGGCGAGAGTCCTAAGCGTTATGCCACCGACGCATGCTGCTTCGTTTCAAAAAGAAGATAAATTAAGCAAAGACGTGCTTGTCTGTCATTTGGATTCTCGTCAGTAACGGCATACCAAAATATGTAGCCTTTTGTGGCAATACTTGATTTAGAAATCTCATTCTAATGAATGTATTGACAATCATTCACCTGTATCAACAGGTCAGACAGCATATTTACTGATCAAGAAAGGTGGTTTAAAAATAATAATAATGAAGTAGTAGTTTCACTGAAATCATGAGAATAACTATATGAGAGCAGATCATGTGGTTAATTAACACAATAATGACATTTACAAAGGCTTTTATCTCAATATATCTGATCATAATTTCAATCGATTAATTCGTATTTTGCGTAAAAATAAAAGTTATTGAGATTTACTTATGATAGGCAAACAGGCTGTTCAGGAGTAGGCCATACACTCACTGTAGTTATCTCAAACTATTTTTATGTTGCTGAAAATGGCAAAGCATTTCTTATTTTCAAGTATTGGTTTGTAGCGATTTGGTTGATTGGTTACAGGTTTTCATCATCATCATTTCATCAACCCCGAGGGGTGCATACTGCTGAAGAGTCCCAAACTAGGACAAAACAACTGTCCAGTATTTCTTATTTTATTCTAAAATATTTTCTTTGTAATCTCAACCTCTACTGATCGAGTATCACAAAAACGAGTTGGCAGAAGTCGAAATTTCGCATTCTGCAGAATTAATTTTATTGTGCGTTTACATTAAATAGAAACAAACAACAGTGAACAAATATATACACACTACGGTGATAGAAAGCGTTAATCATCACAAATGTCTTAAACATCTCATTACTTTGAGATTCCTTAATTTTCGCGCGATCAATGTTGATAATTTATCATTGATTCTGCCTTATTCAACTTGAAATAAACATGACGAGGTTTATAACTGCTACATGAAAATGGTTTAGTGGAATAGGATTAGTTTGCCTGTAGGTAGATCCCTGATCCTCATCGTCTCCTTTGGATGCTTTAATTGTATTCACACACATTTGGTTTCACGTTGAATTAAACAAAGAACTGTTATGATTTTATACTTGTGTTGTCTTTGATTTCTGCAGTGTTATTCATTTCAGACCGGGAATACAACATCATTCTCACTCATCTTTTTTATTGTTATTGTTACTGTTACTGTTATTTGTTTACAGCGAAGCCAGGTAAGATACTTCTCCTTGTGCAATAGTGTGCTTTTTCATGCAAGTTGAAGCAGTATAGTATTTAATTACCTGTTAAACTGTTAGGTTATTTGAATTCTAATTCAATAAGAAAAGGATTGAGCATCATGATCTATGCATCTACTAACGAAATAAAGTTTAATGAAAACAAAACACGTAGTTCAACGAAGAGTCTCTTTTCGGCGAATTCATTTTCTTAGCTGTACAACCGCAAATGTATATGTGTTATTGATATAAGTATAAAACTTGGGCACTGTGGCAGAGCATAACTCCATTATGAATAAGATTTTATTTTGATAAATCACACAGTGTTGTACAGTAATATAAACTAATGAAGTTTCGAGCACAAACTACTGCTCATAATCATATATAGTTGTGTACATGATAGTAGAATTGGTTGAGTAGTTCCCTTTTGTATGCACGGCTCCGGTTTTTCTATGTGAAAGGCCACAGCTTTAGTGATACAGGGAGACGAAACTGTGTTGCCTTTGGTAGGTTATTCTTGACTCTGTAGATTACGTTGAAGGAGGAGTTTGTTGAAATGGAATGGTCAGTGTTAACCAGGTGTTCAATTATCGCACTCCTTATTGCATCACTATTGCCTTTTCGCAGCCATGCTGGCTAGTGTTCTGTAATCCTCTTGGACAGGGTGCGCGTCGAGCGACCGATGTACCTGGCTCAACAGCAGCAGGTGAACTGATATATGTACCTAAAAGTAGTCAGATGCAATATCTTGTCCTTAAGGCTTCTGCAGATCATTGGGCGACTGGAGAACACTATTCTCAGCGTTGCTGCAAAGAATGTCCTTCTCAGAGGTGATGTGATCCTTCTTTTGAGAATATCACTTCCTAAATCTCCCTTGAAATCCAAGTTCAAACGCAATTAAAGTTTTGATTCTCCGAGTTATTGGTTTGATATTTCTGTCGATGAATCTTATTGGGTATCCATTTTGGATAAAGATTTCCCTCAGAATATCTAATTCTGTTTCCAGAACGTCGGGACTACAGATGCGTTGGATGAGGGTGGAAAGTGATTTAATTTAATTCCGCTTTTTTTACATGGGTACCCAACTATAGAAGCTTGTTAGTTGACTATTTCACGTAGGTTTTCTACGGATCGATCTTCTTAGGCTCCCGTCAGTTCTTCTTGTTAGTTCCACATCAAGAGATGGAATTTTTGACCCGTTTTCCATTTCAAGAGTGAATTTTATTGCTGGATGGCAACATTTAAATGTCTGCAGAAGTAGACTGGGGTCATTGTTAATGTCACAAATAATGAATATGTCGTCTACGTATCTTTTGTACAGTCGTAAATTGTCAAAATAACACGTACATATTTGCAATTTTACAGCTAAGAAAATGAATTCGGTGAAAAGAGACTCTTCACTGAACTATGCGTTTTGATTTCATTAATGTCAGAATGGGGATTATCCATGAAATAAAATTTAAACGTAAAATATATCACGCTCTGTAAGAAGCACCTTTTTGTCGAATATGCGTAAGATAGACAGATAAACAGTGCAGTATGACACACGAATTCACAAATTCCACATTTCCTGAAAAGGTAGAACCACTTACTGCCTTTGTTCCATTTTGATTGCGTTAAGTAAAGTACGGATTATTTCTGTAAAAATAGTGATGAATGTGGAAAACCAATTTTTCAAAAAATTTGACTACACACATCTATTTGGTAATTTCCATTTATACGTAAAGGGAAAGTAAATAGAAGGTATTTCACCTACAGCAAAAGCTGTTGAGATTCACTATTAATGATGGCCACACAAAAATATTCGGAACGGGCTCACACAACCAGTTACGTTACTTTGACCAACTTTACGTTACTGCGAACAACTAAACATTTGTCTTGTATGATTCGAAAAAGAATCCGTCTTCCTAATAAAATAAACGAAAAAGTGAGCAGCATCTTCTACACCGCCTTCACTTCGATATGGTAATGAAATTCATTCTGAATTGAGTATAAAACGTCAGTCTCACTTATCGCTGTTCTTACTGTTTACTTGTCTACAGCATAATCAGGTAAGATTTTTCTTTATATTCAGTAGCATACTTTTGTATTCACTTCAAGGCAGCAGAGTATCTGAATTTTGGTGGAAAATCTCAATCACCAAAATACTCTGAAATATCTCATGAATTTGCTCGCATCACCTGAATTGTTTTGTCTTCATGAAATTGATCCGCATAATGTGACTACTCATTCATACTTACACCTAATCATCAGGCACACCAAGTATTAAGCAAGCACCAGATGAGAAATGTTAGGTGGATTAGGATTGGTTTCGAGAGTGGACAGATTTCTGATCTTCAAAGTCTGCAGGAGTTAGCTTGCTTAGTATGAGGAAATATGTCACCTTATTCAAACAAATGAAGATTACTTTTAAGTTTTTGTACTTGCTTGTCTTTGATTTCTCCAGTGTTATTCATTTCACGACACCGGTCTCACTTATCATTTTTATTGTTGTTACTGTTACTATTTTATAGCGAACCGAGGTAAGACTATTCTTCGTGTTCAGTCGTATGTATTTTTAATCACCTCTAAGCGGTTTCGTGCTATATTTTTAGTTAAGAGTTATAAACCTTTAATTTAAATATAATTTCACTCATTAAACAAGGACTGAACATCATATCATGACTGATGCATGTATTCATGATAAATTGACATGTAGGATATGTCATTGTTTGTACAAAATGAAGTATTTGTTGAATATGTGTAAGATAAGGCGAATTTCTACTGTAATATAACGGAGATATGAGAAGAGATCCAACCAATGTATTCAGGAATTGTGAAGAAATACTTTCTTCACTATATTGGGATGATGATCGCTGATAATTGTAATACATTCGGGCAAGCCACTTATTTTGAACAGTCTGATTACAGACATTCGCTTGTCAATTCAGTTTATATGATGAATCAAATAAAACTGACAACATCACAGAGGAAATTAAGAGTAAGGAGGGTAAAAATGTACGTCTCTTCGAAGAGTAATAGATTCATGAAAGGATTATCAATGTCGGTTGAACGCAGAAAGTACAAGGCAGGTGTTCTTTCGCCAATATTCATCACTGTATCAGCTATATCAGGTGTGTATTATCATTTTACACTAGTTTGTCTTTTATTTTGACAATGGAATTGGTGTTAAATCAGGAGTATGGCATGAATCTCACCTATCAGTTTCACCACTGTTATTCGTTTACAGCGACTTTTATTTCGAATACATGGAGTACACATCAACAGAAGTTAAATATGTCCCAAACAGTAAAGTTCTCGTATCACTTTGTATTTCCATCATCTTATTCATCTCATTATTTTGACCATCACATGTATTCATTGAATGGTATTGTTACTTCACATATCATCCAAGTTTCCATATGTACTATGTGTCACCCCGCTCTACTCAGTGAACTACACAACATCAACTTATTTTCAACACGTTTTTGAAGGCTACACTGATTTCATTAATACACGACATCTTTTGTACATCACTCTACACTTCAGTGTATATTGGAAATTGTTTTGTTGTGTATAAACAGCGATTTTATCTGTTGTGTATTTCTGCCGAATTTATCATTATTTACAAATGTAAGACTAAGATGAAACTGTCTGCCATGTTGGACACACCACATTCATGTTTCACAGTCTAATGTATCACTCTGTATTGACTTGCTTAGTATTTCATGCATTCATTCATTCATTAACTCCCCTATGTAATGTGGTCATGTTCACACTGTCGGTGTCTTCACTGCTCGGATGTTGACTGTGTGATATTTGAAATTCACTATTCTACTCTCTGTATGGTGATGCAGGCAATAAATATTTCTCTATCTGTTACGGAGATTGTTGTTTAACGTCGGGATTGTGTTTACTGATTTTAATAGAGGAGGTGGGTGTGTACTTCGCTAACAGTACACGAGTAATTAATCAGAATACACATGTAGGCAGACATGAAGTTGGCATAACCCATGGCTATTCGTTCTTCTCCGAGTTGATTAAAGTTATTGTGACATAGAAGCAATTGTTTAATTTTAGTCTATCTCTACTATTTCCTTCACTAGAAGTTTGATCGTTTCAGTTGAGTTTGACATTCATTTCTTCATGTTTTGCAGTTTACACAATTTATTCATATCACTTACCCTCATATCGTCAATATGCAAAACACGAAATCAGTCGATCCAATGCTTCTTCGATGATGTGTATGAGCTTTCAATTAAATACTCTTGATTCGCACAACCAAATACTCAGAGTTTCTCATTTATAGAGTGAATGGAAAGTATTTAGAGCGCATTCATCAAGTATATGCACTTGGTTATGTAATATCTCGTGGTTTGCAAACTAATCCTGTCACCAGATTTGTAGAATGTTGTTAACACAATCATTTTCTATACGCCTTTTCACAAATTGACTCACATTAGAATCAACAATCTGCTTGATACAGTTGTCAGATGAATTACTGATCATTAGTTCTCTTCTCTCCACCTTCCCCCGATTTGAATACTGAAACTAATTTAAGATATATCCATCATGCCTACGCAGAAATGTTGATTCGAAAAATGATCCAGCTTGTCAAACTCAAATGTGATGCGTGAAATCACCTGTTGAAATATTCAGAATGTAATGATTACATGCATAGACAAGGGTAAATTCATTGAAGAAAATGAGCTGATTAAATTTAACGATTACTACACACACTATCCATATATGCAACAAACATTCTATATAAAAGATGGATTATATTCTAATTAGGTGAACTACGAATAGTTGGATGATAAATAGGAATCGGTGTATGAAGAAGGCGACGTGACTGGATTGTGATATTTGAAGGTCAGCGTTTCCTGTGACTGACTCGGAAATCTGTAGTGAATTGTTGACTTTTGGCGATGAAACGTGCCGATGTAACTGCTTCGTATTATATGCTATCGTTACTTACTAATCTTTAAAACAAGCTTCACAGTGTATATATGAATGTTTCGAATGATACTCTTCAGCTGTACTGAACAACTCTAAATGTGAATGGTGTGTGTTGTTCATCCTATGTAAATATGTCACACACCCCTTTAGCAATGTTTAAGCAAATCCGTTTTCAAGACGAGTATACATCAGTATTTCATTTTCCTTCTCTGTAACATCAGCCATACAAATACACTGAATCCTTTCAAGTAAGCATTTCGCCTAGCCTCCTTTATATTCTAGTGCAATTTATCACAGCTTCTGTCCACTGAAGTATAAGAAAGGCTTGGTGAAATGCTTACTTGAGAGGATACAGTGTATTCTCACGGCTGGTATTATAGAGGGAGAAACTGAAATATTGATGGATACTCTTTTTGGAGACGAATATTCTTTCACATTTTTAACAGGTATAGAAGACAACCAGCCCTTAATAATGATGCATTCATCAAATTACCATACAACTTGGAAAGAAACATTTGAATTTTGAGGCAGAGAATAATTCCGGTCATCCGTAGGATCTATCATGCAGTCCGAGTTGTCATTATGAAAAAAGGTTAAAAATATGCTTCACTACAAACCTCAAAATTGCACGAGTGATTCTGTCACATGCCAGACTATTTTCCAATTTACGTGCGTGTGTGTGTGGACGCACATAAATAGGGATGAGTAATCACCCTTGACATGTGAGGGTGGGAAAACATATTCCGAAATGGTTAGAAAGACAGGTGAACTTCGGAAAACAATAGACACAGGTGGAAGACTGCCAACTTCGTTTTTAGCCAAACAACTAATCGATATGAAACATAAGCTTGATGTTAACACACCTTCTAGGGTCATCTATGAAATGGTCGAGGTCGTTTATTGAAATACGCTAAGGTTATAGCTATACATAAACTTAATCGCCTAACCCTCACCCTGTGTGTTCAGAAACACTTTATTATTACTCTTAAGCTACCTTGGTAATCCTCATCTGATTCGATAACCGATCATTATGTTATTATTCTCAGCTTCTTTTGTGTCACTTTGTGTTGTCCTTTATTTTTATAATATAAATTGAATGGACAAATAAATGTGTTGTTCGAAAAGTATTGCTGAAGTATATCACATTTTTCAGATAATCTCCGCCTTCCAATGACACTATCCAAATATTTAATATTGAGAAATTTAAGTGTGGTAAATCCCAAATACAGACTGTGGGAGTACTGATCAGTTGAATGTTTTACTCATCGTGAATAAGTGTTCTATGATGGGAGTATGAAGTGCCGATTTTATGATGACGTTTATGTTTGACGGTCAAATTGGCTAACAGTATCCTGTCAGCATTACAAGTAGACATATTTATTTTAAATTACACGAAGTTGTTTCTTTGTCATAGGGTGGTGAAACAGAGGAATCTCGGTAGGACTTCTGAAGTTTTCTCAGTAAACTGTTGGTCATATCGTCTTCTAACAATAAGGGCGATCACTAGTAGTTTATGCCAGTTACATTGGTTAATTCAGTAAAGCTTTATAGAAGCACTTTGGTTGCCACCATATTCTATGTGTGCCAGATAATTTAACCAAATACAATTGAATCGCTTCACCAGCCGCTTTCGACTTCTTGTGTCATCATTACCAAAGCCCTGTCGAAACTTGTGATTGCATGCTGATTTTACACTGTCTGACTTAACGTGGTGTGCTAAAGACTGTAAAATTCTTCTCAGCATGTAATACTCACATTGTGACCCGATAGGAAATCCCCCCAAATATGTGAGTTCGTGTGGAAGTTTCTTCCTCTAGATTAAGCGACCGTATATATCTTGTGGATTATATTATTACTGAAATTGATTTACTGCCAGTTGGATATTCATTTACTGAGCTATTCCGATGTTTGTCATTCGATAGGTGTCTAACCCTTCTACAGTTCCGTGCAAATGTGTTCTGGTATTTCGATTTTATCATTCTATCCTAGACAGTTTTCACTTGAGCCTTTGTAAGTGATCCAAATCAGACATCGTTATAATTCTGTGTTTGTGAGTGCCATTAATCTGTTTGTTCCGTCTTTCAAATCAACCCACCCTCACCTGTGGTTCAGTCGACTGGGAAATGATTGGCTTGCTAATGACACTAGTTCTACAAATGTTAAGTTCAGATATGCCAGCTATTTACTACACCACAGTAGTATGGTCACGGAACCTTCTTGTGGATAACCTTCTTATGAAACCTCGTCCTGACTTCTCGTAGAATTTGCTGAAGCAAGAAGCAATACAACTAATATTCTTGTTGGACCAACCCTCTATCGACTAACTCCTTACTGACGTACACTTGGATGATAGCACTTCGTCTCAACCAAACGTAAACAAGAAGAACCTACTGGGAGAGTGAGAGGATTCTGTTAACTGTGGCTGAGAGTAAAGGCCTAAGAATACACACCGACTTTGGGTGATGTTGATGTGGGCATAGATGGATTAGCTGACATCACCGGTTCAATTCACGAAAGAATGCTAACACAAGTGCAGAAGGTCGCAAAGAAAACAGAAACTGATCGGTTAACAGTTGTAAGACAAGAGGTTGATGCCTCCATATAACATTTGCTTCCTGTAGTGACACGGAGACACCATCTCAGATATTTCAGCCTGGTTGTAAGTAATCTAGACATCACCTTTAAGCATGAAGTTTCGCTATAGGAATTTCCTTAAATAGAGATTAGATTGACTTTCTCAAGTTCGGCCATTCACAGGCGACAAACGAAGAACCAAAAGTCTCAAATAAGCCAAACGTTTCCAGTCGTTTTCAAGAGGCTGAATCAGATGACTGTGTATCTGTCACATGCCATATATATGTATGAAAGTATGTACCACTTCATGCCATCACAGATTAAGCGAGAAGTCTCTTCGGAAATACTTGTCATATCTCGACCTGAATTTCTAGTGACAGTAAAACCGTTAAGTGACTGGTTTATCTGACCGCATATAAATTGAAAGCTTAGATTGTGTATCTGAGCTTGTTTAGAATATCAGAGATGAAGTATCCAGATCCTTATATTAGATATTACATTCAAGTTGTCACAGTGTTACTACAAACACCATTTAATGATTTCACATATCTCTCAGGATGTTCTGATCGCTGTAAAATGATGACCAGTGGTCATTCCAGCAACTGATGCAGCAGCTGAAACTGTTGAACTATCTACAATTCGATCTCCGATTACAGCATGCCTAGAATGATCACCATGGAAGAATGAATCCAATCGAAATTTATTCATATCAACAGCTAACAGAACCACCTGGATTCTATGGGAAACGTTCAACAATTGGATACGAAATCGAGTAATACCTAATGAAGTCAGTTTACAGAACTACTTTGCAACTGCCTGGAGAGTGTTCAGT